TATATTTTCAACCGTACTTCTATCAAGCCCCCCAATTTTATTCGATTTTCTACATGCAATAGTTAGTATTCTTGGTATTCTTTGAACTTCTCTGGTATAATAACTCGCAGTATTCGTCACAGTCACAGAGTTCGGTGGAATGAGGTCTAATATTTGCTCGTTAAACACATCTCTGTTCATGTCTTTATGGAAAGCGCAAAGCGCCAGAATTCTTTGAATCAAATATCAATGAACTGTTCTCAACAAAACAATCAACAACACATCCAATGTGGGTAACAATCAGTCGTTTTTCTTTTCCAGAATGCGATTTTAACCCGGTAGGCCAATCTTCTAAAAATGCTAGACGTAAACTTGTAATGTTTTTGTCTTGCCACATCTTTCCAACTATATATCTTTCATTAAATGTTTCTATTCCCACGTCGAAACTCTCCTATTTGCCTTAAGTAATGTCTCCTCTAGCAAATAATTTGGTTATTTTTCATTAAGAGCTGTTTTCTTTTTTGTTTTCCTAGCTGAAATTTCTACGGATCATCGGAGACATACTTTACTCTTCGTTCAAAATCCCCCTTATTTTGTCGGGGTCGGTGTGTCTTTCTTAAAATGAAATGAATGTACTGGTCTTTTTGCACGTTCGTAGTTTTCATCAAGAGGTACAGTTTTTTTTCTAAATATAGTTTTGGTGATTCCACAGCTTCATCTTTTCTCTCTTTAAAATTTATATATCGATGATTTCGAAACTTTAACTGCGAATACATTCTCACCAGTAACAACGGTATACGAAGGATTTGGTGTATGATAGTGCCAAGTCAATTGAGAATAATGATCTTCTGATTGACAGAAAAAGCACATTTGCTCATTCGATTTTCTGAAGTAGCCATTTTAATTCACGCACTAAGTAAAATTTACTAATAACAACATTGATTAACATACAAAGGATTAAGAAATGATAATTGAAACTTTCCTTTTTTACCACTTCTATTTGTAACTAACATTACTGCAGTTTCGTCCTATAAGGACATTTTCAAATTTATACAATAAACTGAGTTTAATGTATGAGTTAGTTACAAATACAAGTGGTAAAAAACATAGAAAGTTTCAATTCTCTTTTCTTCATTATGATTTCCTACCACGCAGTAATGTCTACATCCATCAATTTATACAAGGGATTTATCATTAGTTAATATCCTTCAAGTAATAAAGTACCTATCTGAAGCACTTTAACATCGGATCGAATCATGACGTCATCATCTTTTCTAGTGAAAACCGAAAATATCTAGCGTATGCCTGATTTAATCAGGTGAGCTGTGCGCAGCTATGTGATACATTAAAAAGTGCTTCTCATAGAAAGTATTAGAAACTTCAATAGAAATTCAAGAGTAAAAACAAGTTTGGGAGTTCAATTAAAAAAATAAACTATTCATTGAAAATGCGAGTATTCCATATTTTTGTGACTCATCGTATAAATACAAATATGAAAAGATTTATCATATCAAATCATACAACGATATGGAATGTTCGAAATAAATACCACATGTTTCACTTTTCAACCGACTCAATTATGTGCACCTATGGAAGACATTTTTGAAAACGATTTATTTCTCCGCTGTTCTAGAAAATAATCTACAGAGATTTTCATGTCAGACATCTAGCTGGAGAAGAAACATGGTTACATAGTAATTTCTATACAAACATTTTATTGCTTTGATGTGGGAAAGATTTTGACACTATAAGTGTCAAAACCGAAAATTGTAAAAGAATATTTCTAGAATTCGGCGAATGGTTACGGTCAAACCTACCAATCTCAGTTTTGACAGAGGCGCGAGTAATATATCATGTCTAGATTGTCACCATAGGAGGATTAAACTTCCTCTTGTGGATATCACTTGTTGATAGAAACACGTGTCGAGGTGTTAAAATAATGGTTTGGTGTTGGGATAAAACTCCAGTAATATTCATTACTACACGGAAGTTCCAAACAGTGCATCATAGTCACCATTGTAATACAAAATGAAATGAAGGGATAATGAAAATTTGGAAAAAAAATCAATCACCAATTAGTCTCTGCCATGAAACACTAACTTTGATTATATTTTCATTATGTTAATAAAAAACAACCTCTTCAGAATTTCAAATTATACTAACCAGAATAAACTAATATGTTTCTCTTACTGTTCTATTATTGGTCAAATGGAACCAGTTATGTAAAAATGTGATAATTCAGTGATTTATTTTTTGTATCGACCTTTGTATATTTCGGTGTTTGATAGAACCACATATAACTAATTAACGATCACTTCCAGAAAATAATATGGTTAACTTCCATTCAATGGACTTTGTCAGAATTATATAATCTTTTCACTGTTGAAAAATGTTAACATGGAATATATGTGCTTGTGATGCACTGTTTGAAACCTTTGGTACATTAATGAATATTACTGGAGTTTTCCAACACCAAACCGTTATTTCAACACCTCGACACGTGTTTCGATCACCAAGTGATCATCTTCAAGAGGAATATCAAACTTTGATTCCAACACCAAACCATTATTTTAACACCTCAATACATGTTTCGATCACCAAGTGAGCATCTCTAAACTGAAGATCAAAATTTGATCTTTCTCTCGAAGATGATCATCTTCAGGAGGAAGCTCAAACTTTGATCTTCCTCACACATATCTACAATGTTAAAATTGAAATAAATAGAATTTCTCCATAAAATAACTTTCCGAATAATAGATGGAATGGCTTGAAACATTCTTCATTCAATTTTAAAATGAAGAGTATTTCGAAATGAATATATAATATCATTTATTGATGATCATGATCATGAAAGCTACATCCAAAGAGCCCCACTGGTTTTATCAAAATCACGTATACTAGCACCGACTTAAAACTGAAAAATACATGTTGTACATAATTCAATTGAAAAAATAAATGAACATATAATTGTATACATTCATAATATCGATTTTTTCATGTTGCTTTCATTTGATGAAGAACACTTGTTTAGCTTTCAACTTCTCCATCATTTACCAAAAAATGGGAAACTTCCAATCTGTTTGAAAAAAAAATCTGTTTTTCCGTTAACCAGCTGTCGCACCCCTACGAACGACAACCCTCAGAAGTCGAAACTTGTGCGAGCTAAGGATTAACGAGGTCTTACCTTTTAACGTGTGATTCCTAATGAATGAAAGAAATAACCACAATGAGCACATGTTATATGTAGAGCATATACCTATACAATGAAATTTGCAGATAATATACAGATATAATGTATTTATTGAGTAATGTTAGATTTTGATTGATTGATAAGAGGTGTAACTGGAACCTCTGAACACCAGAATTTTTTTCGACGCACGTTTCACCAACCAAGTTTACGTCTTCAAAAGATGAAGAAAACGAAAATATTCTCGCGCGACGAGAAGAGTATTGCAAATCTATTTAAAATTTCATAATAAACTATTGCGTGAACATTACGTAGTATAGAAGACATGTAACATAATTTTAATAATGGTTCGATATCATCCTCATTAGTTGAACTGATATTGAATAAATGAGGTGATTACGTACCAGTAATTGTTTCAATTGAATACTAATTATTGATTTCTAAAATAAAATATCTTCCAGAAGAATTTTAACTATCATTTGGTCACTGAAGTATTATTGAAGTATTGTCATAGTTACTTCAATTCTGAAGAAGTTGGGTTTCAAATTTATTTATTTCCTCATAAAGTAGTTTATATTATATTGACACGATCATTAAACATAAGGTTTGAAAATGAAATTAATATACTTCATTTGGAACACAGTATATTTGAATTTCAATGTATGTAAACATTTATATCAGTTAAGGAAAAGGGGAAGATCAAACAGTTTGATCTACCCCTTGAAAATGATCACTTGGTGATCGAAACACATGTCGAGGTGTTAAAATAACGGTTTGGTGCTGGGAAAAAACTCCAGTAATATTCATTACTACTCTAAAGGTTCCAAACAGTGCATCACGAATGTATATTATTTATTTTCACACTTAGGTTAGAGTAATTATTAAAAATATTAAGTATTTCCTCCAACCAAAAGTTCAGTTGTTTTTCAAATCGAACACAAGTTAAAATCCATGAAAAAATTCTACCGTATTAGTGACTTCCAATCACATATCATTATTCAATACTCTATTGAAATCCATTGAGTTCTTATATTCTAGTCAACAATAAAATCACTTGATTACTAAAAGTGAGGTTATGATTGCTTGAATCAATGGCTGTTCAGACGATACTGTTTTCTTTGTGCATCAGTAAATACGCTTTACAAATATGTCGAGATCTTGTAGAAGATCTCGACATATTTATAGAAGGTATTATTATGAAAGGTGCTGTGAACAGTCTGTTATTTTGAGGAATTTTAATAAAATCGGTGTTAGCAGTGAAGCTGTTTAGAGAAAAAATTTGACGAAGGAATTGGCAGCGAATTTTGCTAAGTTGTTTCATAGTAAAATCATTAACTTCATTTATTAAAACACATTATGTTTCAAAGTTATCTGAAAACAACCAGAAAAATATGTTGCTGTGTCATACCTCTGATAATATTCATCTAGTAACTTCTGATGAAACCAAACCGGTTTATTGCAAGATTGACATTGCAGAATGCAGCCCACGTATTTTTCGATGACACCTTGTATTCAAATGAACTGAAAATGTACATATACTTACTCACCACTAATTGGTGTGAATGAATGAGACGGGTCATGCCAAGCTATTCATCTACATCAATTTAAAATCTTGACTTTCCTCGATTCGAATTGCTGGAAAGAATCCTCCTCCGAAACGATTGTGTGGTTGTTTTCGTAAAAAGCCATTGGAAGCGCACAATGGATTTTGACAATACTCACTTAAGCTATTGTGAGAGCACGTGTCAAGGAGTTCGGTCCTTTCTCATTGGTCATCTCGGACCCCACACCTTCACAGGTACAGGTAGAGTTGAGGTAGAGGGTGGCAATGTTCCAACAGTCTAGCGTAAGACGTAAATCCACGCAGTCGTCTTTGTGAGTCGATCTCTAGATTCAGATTAACTTTCTTTGAGTTTGTTGTGTGATGTGCCCGTGGTGTTTTTCGCCGTTTATTTTGGATTATTGCACTGTGCATTGAGCTTTTTCGGTGAGTCGACTGGAAAATACGTAATTTGGTAACCCACTTACCCTTGACACGCTTCGATGATGTCTTAAGCTTCAATGAACAAGGAATAATCGAATATTTTAGTAAATATTGCTATATGTATCCGAAATAATCATTGGGTATTGGAAAACCCATTGTTATGGTGCCACAAAGTCTACAAAATTCATCGTGTTCAGCATGTTATTTTCACAAAACATAACGTTTTTTGACTCATAATGAGCAAAATAATCATGAACTATTTGTGAATATGATGTTGATATTTCAATACTTCCCAAACATAATGATATGTTTCTAGTGGTTTATAATTGAATTATTTAGATTAGGTATATGTGATGAGAATCCATAACGTATTCAAAAAACACTTTATTGTGAGATTTTCACTAAACAGTTTCAGAAAAACGCCGAGTGTTTCGCTATACAGTAGCTTCTTCAGGCGTGTCTGCATAAAGACACGCCTGTTGCGTTTTTGTAAAACTGTTTGGTGAAAATCTCCTGATGAAGTTTTACTTGAATATATATTTAGAATACAGCAGATCTATATCATTATTAGCCAATTTATTGTTTTCTGGCTCTCATTAATTTCAATTGAACAGTGTCATTAATGAATCTTTAAACTTTCAACGATTTCATCCTTTCTAAAATTTTCTGCTTGTTTGCTTGTAACTGTAAACTAGTGATAGCTTTACATCTGCCGCAAATAAATATGACTGAGAAATGCTTCAAAGTGGGTGTTACACCGATAATTGTAACCATTACTGTGATTTTATATTCCGCCACTGAGTGGTCCGAAGTTTCTCCAGCAATCCCTTGCCAAAATACCCTAATAATTTGGGTACTTGAGATCTTTCAATCCCTCTCAAATCTCTGTGTTAACTGAAAATGGCCCTCTCGAAATAACAAATTCATTGTGTAAATTTTTGGGTTAAATAGTGACATTTATTATGGTTTGTGCAGGTGTTCACCTCTCGAGCACCTGTTGTGAGAATTTCTTATTTTCTGCATTAAGGAAAGGTATACATCAAGTTCTCGTGTATGCGTTGTTTTGTACATCAGACAGCTCGGCGCTGGCCGGCCCATAGTCGGGAGATCAAGTTACCGTAAATAGACATTCGATTGTTTTATATACTTTATCAAACCAATTTGATCACAATAACTATATGTTTTGAGAAGAGATTATCTTTGGGATGCTCAACAACTTATTTCACTTTACAGTGCATCTTTCAGATAGCTATCACAAGTTATACTTAAATGAGGTTCGAGGCTGTTTTGAAAATTGAAAAGTATTTTTCAAATATTTTTTGAGGATCAAAATGAAATATTAATTTAAAAATTGTTCAAGAGAGAGAAACGATATGAGTTTAGGGTTCGATTTTGTCATATGCATTACCACGGAAAGTGTGACTTTTCCATTTTGAGGGTAATAATAATTATTAGATAAAAAAATGATTTATTGTAATTGTTCAACAAATTCCACAGTTTTATCATAACTTCAGTTATTTTTTATGTGATTATCTGTTTCCATTACAGTTTTTAGTACACTAGTAATGTACTTATGCAATCCTCATAAATAATTTTAAAAATTATAACCTTTTAGAACTTGTCTTCCCAGCACTTTGGATTAACAATTGGGTAGTTGATACAAATTACATTTATCAGTCATGAGAGAACATTGATTTCAGATTATTATTTGACATCTTGTCATAATATTTAGGATTACAGAAGAATTAGAGAACAATAAATATGGTGTAACAAGAAGTGAAACAAAAAGTAATATAAAAACTTCAAAATTTGATAATACATTATCAAACGTTTCGATCATTTATTATCAATGAAAAATACATGTTTTCCTAACTTTCACATTCAACTTCTTAGGGGAAAGAATATAACATTCTGAAAAATGTGGAGATATTTAGAGGAGGTTTCAAATTACGTGTATTTGTGACATGATGGAACAAATTGGAATTTGAAAATTTTGGGTGATCGCAAACTGAAATTAGAAAATATATCGTGAAGGCGATGAAAATAAATGCACATTCAAGTTATATTTGAAACTAATTAATATAGTTTATTGTATGATTTTTACTATAAAGGGTTTTATAAAAACCGCGATACGTGTTTCGCTATACAATAGCTTTCTCAAGCATAAACTAAAATTAAGTTTTAGTTTTAGTTTATGCTTAAGAAAGCTATTTTTGTAAAATCCTTTATAGTGAAAATCATACAATAAACTGTATTAATTAGTTATAATATGTATTTTCATCAAGTATCGGCCAGTTCTATCCAACAACTTATATTTGCTTATGTAAGAATTGTATTTCCACGAGTTTTGGTTTGGGGGCCGACATTTTTTAGTATATAATCTTTTTTTAACAATGAAAAGTTGATAAGAACCAGCTTTCCACTATTATTCTGAAAATATTTCCAGTTCACGGTTTTTGACGTAAATGGAGTGGCTGGGTCTAAGATGAAGAAGTCCAAAACTTATAACGTCTGTAAAATACCCGCATATTCAACTTCGAATATATTTATAGGGTGAGCACTGAAAAAAATATTTTAGGTGAATATAGGTAATGAATAGAGCAGAAACGATAAAATATTTTGAAAATTCCAGGAATTCGACAAATTCCTGAAGTTGATTCTCATGGAATGAAAGATATTATAATCATTTTGGTGAGATTTTAGGCCCTGATATAAAAATACATGAAATAGAGAAGATATTTGACGGTTTCAACCATTTCCAACGATAAATAAATTTTACCTCCTCATCCCCCCCTTTTCTAGAAATATTCAAAAAACGGTCACTCAAGCATTATAAAAACTTCAATCAAAATCAAAACGTCAATATGGAATGGAGAAGACATTTTTTGCTCTATCACAATGAAAAGTCACTTATATAATCAGAAAAAATTCACTATGAAGTCTTCTTTAATATGTAATTAACAACGACATTTTTTCTTTGTTTTTTTAGAGTTCTAGAGAGTTATTATTTTGTAAAAAATGTTTTATTTTTTCCCGAAATAACATTTATAAATTGAAAGTTCATTAGTATAATGATAAACTAAGTAAAAAATGCAACTGATTTCGATAATTGCATAAAGGGAATAAGATATCTGGTTTATGAAAAAAAGTCAAGAGGAAGTTAGTTCATATAAATCTTAGTAAACGACTGGGGTCTATAAATTCAAAAACATACACATTACATTCGAAAACAAAGGCAATAAGGATTTACTTAAGTTACTTGTTGATGAATAAGTCGTACGGAAGCGAAATCCTATAATTTACAACACACTGAGTAAAGTAACCTTCAGTGGGTTCAGATAAAATAGTTACGTGAATAATACTATCCAGTAGGTGTGGAATATACGACAGACATGAAGGATCCAAGAAAAAGATAGCTACATTACGATCTCGTGTAGATTTGGAAGTCGCGAGTTGAAGACATCGCAGTCAGCTTTCTCCAGCCGTTACTAAAAGGTGAACAAGTCCAACTTGCTTGACCTCACCAAAGCCAACTGCCAACAACTTAACGCTAGAGATGCTTAAAAGATACAGTGGCGGATCTTTAACTACGATTTTTCGAAAATTGTTTACACAGTGGCGTCACTAAAGGACTCATTTTCTTATAACTGATGCAGCAAAATTGTTGGCAAAGGATGCGAGACTTGATTGTTATTAATTGTTTCAATTTGTTCTAAACGAATCTTCAACAATGATCATAACCAGAAAAATTATATGAATTAGGTGACAAATTCAAAACTTTGCTGAAAATGTGTAAGCTTTATAACAAATCATCTACGGCCCAGTTTTATGACATCAATTTGATCAATACTCTTGATATTTGACTATAAGGATGTGCTAATGTAATCCATAGATTCCATTTTGTATTATTTTAAACGTTCGTAAGATTGTTTCTATAAAATTGGTGTCATATTGGGGGATTATTTATTTTCATATGAATTCATATGAATATGCAGTAAGGAATATCAAATTATAAGAGTTTTGTATTTCCGAAGGAAGCGAGTCTTGTCACCAGAACTTTAGAAATAAAATAATAAAAGTTACGCTTTTTAAAGTTACAGAGCAAACAATCTGCATTATTCTTTGAATAATATTTTAAATTTAATTTTCTTACTGTGAAATATGCATTGATTTTCTCATAGTTTGTAGTTTTCTATCGGACCCTACCTGCAAACACTGATTTTCAACATGTTCAAAAGTAGTAAACCAATTATTCTACCAATTTTTACTAACAAATCTTGACAATGGATTTCAGAAATGAATCTGGCCAATCGGATTTAACTGCAATCGGCTGGCGCAATTCATTGTTACAGTGTCGGAGTGGTCAGTTGCGTTTTAACGCCTGTGATGTGTATGTACATATGCGGTATTTTGAAGTTAAAAATTTAAAAAATGTCAAGTACTGATACGGCTAAAGTATCTACCTGAAAAATTATCCTATACCCAGCTGATTAAAAAAAAATTCAGTCGTTCCTTAGTGCGACTCTGTACAAGCAGCCTTGTCTGGGAGAGCACGTGCACTATGCATGATAATGTTTTGTAGCACTCTGTTACCTGGTTGGACAGAGTAGAAATAATAATCGGAAGAAGGTAACCAATAGATAGGTTATAAAATATCCAGGCATATACGCTAATAGTTTTATACGTCAAAACTGTCAAAACTATTTTAATTCGGAGACCAAAGAAGTTTATTCATAGTCACAATTAGTAAATATTCATCTCAAAAGAATACCAAAAAAAATGATTGGGATTTGAAGATATTTTCTGTCTTAATTATACTTTGGAATTTAAAAAAGATTCTTTGGCGATATGATATGATTGGTCATGTGAATGACTAACGTGTTTCTCTTGTATTTCATTAGTTCGGACTTCCATTGTCTAACATGATATAAATTAATTTGAAAACATTGTCAACCACCTTCAAACAGGAAGTGTTTTTCTCTTAGGTGTGGGATAACTTTCCT